TTTTTTTTTTTTGGTACCGGGGATTCAACTCGGGTCCTTGTGCTTGCGCAGGAGGTGGCAAAAACACTGAGCTAAATCCCTGGCCCTCTGAAATATATTTTTTCAAAGCTTCTAAAGTGTCCTATAAAATTAAGAGTTTGGGATAATTGAAGGCACTGCAGAGTAGATTGCATAGGTCTGGTGTTTTCTACTGTGGGGGAACTGAGTGATCCTGGTCACATCTGTTTCCTCATCTTCCAGAAAACCTTTAGGAAGTGTTTCCTTTTGGACAGTTTACAGCAAGCACGAGTCTTTTGGCTCCCTCTACTGTTCAGTTTCAGCACTGCCCATGGTCTGGTTTATCAGGTTGCGTTATAGGAAGGGGAAGGCAGCTTTTGACTGAAATAAGCGGTGAGCCACCGAGTGCATCCACGGAAGACTACATTGTCATAAAGAAAAAAAATCTGTCCCATTCCATCAAAGACTTGGATGTCTTGTTGGCCCTGCCCACACAATTTCAATGATTTTCTTAGGCGCTTGCTCCTGAGCATTGCGCACCCTGTACACCCACGCACAGCATCGCCTCTATGATTATGGTTATCACATTGTATGCTAATTGCCTATCGACAGGTCTGTCATTTGAAGCAGGAGGCCTGCTGTTGCTCATCTTTGTAGTCTCTCTCTGCCCACCCCGCCAGGACAGAGTATGATGGGGCCTCTGTTCAAGTTTATTGAATAGATGAGACTAGAGAAGGATGAATGAATGAATGAACGAACGAATGGATGAACAAAAGAAGACAGAGGGTGAAGAGGAGTGGTGAGTGGGGGAAAACTTTGGAGTCTGGAACTGGGAAACGTCACGTTTGGCCAGATTCCCAGCTGATCTCACAGTGCACAGGCGTCTTTTCAAAAGTGGGGTGCAGCAGATGTTGGCAACTAGAAGAGGGCAAAAGCAGGGCTCTGAGGTGCTCAGGGCACAGGTTACACAGGTGTGGTCACTTTGTGAATGCACAGGTCTGTCCGCATAGGTGCACACAGAATTCAATAGCTTGCCTCGATGTATACTACGCTTCAATAAAAGTCAGCTGAAACCGAAAGGGGTGACAGCTCCTTCAGCCTTCTCCAGGATTAGGGGCAGCTTGCAGATGTCTTTGAAAGAGTTTTCTCCATTTGCTGTCTTAAGAGTCTAGCTTTCGATTGGCCAACACTACTGAAACTGATTTCCTGTGATCAGGCCCACTGGACTTTGAATGTTTGAAATTCTTGACCACCCTCTCTTTCTTGAAATACTCCTGTCCCTGGGCTTCTAGGGACAATGTATTTCTGCAGTCTCTTTTGCAGATGCCTCTTCTGGAGACCTTTCCTTGAAGTTTCAAGTGCTTTGTAGTAGGCCTGCCCCATGTCTAACTCTGCAGATTCTCTGTGGATGATCTCATCGCCTCTCCTGGCCAGCTTCGTGCTGACGACTCACCAGTAACTATCTGGAGTCCATATCTTTCTGCGAATCTATCCAACTACTTCTTTGACACCTCTACTGAAACACTTGGGTGACAATTCCACTTCGCACATTCCAGGATGGATTGTATTTCAGTCCTGTGTTCTTTATTTCAGTGAGGTCCTCTTCCCCAGGAGCTGGGCTTAGTTCCCTTTTCTAGACTATACTATTGTTTAACAAATACTCTTCTCATTCTGTCTTGGAGAAGACAAGGTTGTCCATAGCTCTTGCTATGAGCAAGAGAATGACTGTGTGGTAGTTCTTCATAGAGGCTCTGTGGCACTATGCTGGGGGTGGGGGGTGGCAATCTGCATTTCTGCCTTCCTTCATGCTCCTGCCGTCCATGGTGAGATGAGCGGGCTGCAGATGCCAATGGTGACTGTTGTGCTTCCCTCTTGGGTCCCTGAGTAGGAGACAGGGCAGGCCTGAAGTTGATCTACAGCCTGGTGCCAAGTCCAGCTGAGCTAGGCTGAGCCCAGCAGACCCTCTGACCCATGAGCCACTGAGATATATGTACCTTTCTGCATCTTACTCCCCTCATCCAACTGAGACCTGTTCATTTTGCCTCCATATCCATCTTGGTTCATCCACGTCTCTCATTTCTCACTGTTGCTCTTCCAGTCCAGGCTTTTTATCAACTCTTGTTTGAAGTCCTACAGGTCTTTTTCCTGGCTTCCTTACATTGGATCTCATCACTTCTAACTGAATCTCTGGTCTATAGCAAAAGTGATCTCCCTTTTGCAAAGCAATTAATATAATACACCACATAAACAGAATATAGGATGAAAATTCACATGAGCACCTCAACTGGAAAAGCCTTAGGCAAAATTCAGCATCCTTTCATGATAAAAAGCTCTGAAGAAAGTAGGTATTGAAGGACCACTCCTTAGTAAAATAAAGGCCATATGTGATAAACTCACAGCCAACATCCTGAATCGGGAAAAACTGAAAGCATTTCCTTTAAAATCAGGAAAAAGTTTAGCATGTCTACTCTTATCACTCCTATTCATATAGTTCTTGACATTTTTAACTAGAGAAGTTAGGCAAGAGAAAGCAATGAAAGGGCTACAAATAGGAAAGGAAGAAGTCAAATTAGCCGTGTTGACAAATGATATGATCCTATATTTAGAAGACCCTAAAGATTGCACCAAAACAATTTTAGAGCTGATAAACAAATCCAGCAAAGTTTCAGGATGTAAAATCAACATTAAAAAATCAATTACTTTTCTATACACCAGTTATGGACTACCTGAGAAAGAAATAAAAAATGTGTTATATATATAAATGCATTATCACTCAGCCATACAAAAGAATGAAAATTTGTTATGTGCAGGAAAATGGATGGATCTGTTGATCATCATGCTGAGAAAAATAAGTGAGACTCAGAAATATGAATATTGCATGTTCTTCCTAATACGTGGAATTAAAAATGACAAGAAAGTAGACATAGTGGAAGGGAGGAAGTGAAGGGGTAGGGGGTTTAAGGGTGGGATCAGGGGGCAAAAATATGACCAAAACACACTATATACATGGAACCCCCCTCAAAAAAACCCCATGTGGAACTAGGGGGGCGGGGCAAGTGGGATGATGTGGGAGATAATTAAAGTATGTTACTTGTGTGTACAAATCTTCCAAAATAAACCCTATTAATATGTATAACCAATATACCCTAATAAAAAATGTGGAAAAAGTGATCTTCTTAAAACTCAAGCCTATTTGTCCTTTCTTTAGGTCCCATAATCACTTTCAGAAGAATGCCTACACCTATGGCACACAAAGTCCTATTTTGTGATCACACTTCTTCATTTGATAAGTGTTTCACTTGAAAAATCACAAGATTCCATGGAAACAAATAGAAAATGGGTCTTACCCAGACCAATGGGAATCAAAGGAGACTTCCCACGGGGACTCATTCCTAAGTTGACACTTGAAGGATGGGGTGTGGGATCCAAGGGGAAGCAGAACCATGCTTCAGGCAGAAGGGAAGGCATCGCAAAAGAACCTGCAAAGAGTGTGAGCCTTGTGAGAAATAGAAAGAGGTTCCTGAATGTAGAACATGGAAGAGAAGTGGTGAGAAAAGAGATATCAAAAGGACTCAATGGTTAAGTACTCCCCGTTGCTTTGACACGCTCATCCCTCACTTTTGCCATAAGTTTTTTTTCATGACTGTTTTGATGTTCTGAATAGATTCAAAATGTTTTGTTTTTTTCTTTTAAGAATTTGCTTTGCTGTTTTATTTTCACAAAAGCTTTCTTTGGCTGTTTTACATGCATTTCAGACTATTTTCTCCCAAAGAACCTTAACAGGGAAAACTTTACCTCCATTATTGAAACAATAAATGTTAATATGATATAAAATAGTTTTCACTTGACCATTGTTACAAGTTTGATGTACCTTAAAATGAAAATTGGAAGTAAATGTATAAATAAGACAAAAAATAGTGTCTTGGTACTATCCTAAGGGTCTGAGAGGGCTGAAGGAGTTAGGGTTGGTTATTTCTGAAATGAAAAACACACACACACATACACATTTAAAGGTTTTAGCTGGGCATAGCGGTGCATGCTTATAATCCTAGCACTTGGGGGGTTGAGGCAGGAGGATCACTGCGAGCTTGTAGCCAGCAGGGGATACAGTGATGAGTTCAAGGCCAGACTGCATTACATAGCAAGATCCTGTCTCTGAAAAAAAAGGCGGGGGGGGGAGTAATTGCAGTTAAAAATGTTTTTTTAAAAGCAACACATTTGGAGATTTAACATATAAAACTCCTTTATGCAGATTCAGTAGCAGGATTATTATTAGCATGGTAGTAACACCCACACAGCAACTTAGTATGTTAAATAGGTCTTTTCCTTTCCTTCTGTAAAATTGCCAGATTCTTGTCTTTGACAGGCAAAATTGGGTGACCAAGGAAACCTCTCTGAACTGGTTAATCTCATCTTGACGGTAGCTGATGGAGACAAAGATGGCCAGGTCTCCTTGGGTGAAGCAAAGTCGGCATGGGCACTCCTTCAGTTAAATGAATTTCTTCTCATGGTAAAACTTCAAGATAAAGAACATACCCCAAAACTAATGGGATTCTGCAGTGACCTCTACATGATGGAAAGTGTTGAATATACTTCTCTCTATGGAGTGAGCCTCCCATGGGTCATTGAACTTTTTATTCCATCTGGGTTCAGAAGAAGAATGGATCAGCTGTTCACACCGTCATGGCCTAGAAAGGCTAAAATAGCCATAGAACTTCTAGAATTTGTGGAAGATGTCTTCCATGGACCCTATGGAAACTTTCTCACGTATGATACTAGTGCCAAAAACCTAGGATATAATGAGAAGTATGATTTGAAAATGGTGGATATGAGAAAAATTGTGCCAGAGACAAACCTGAAAGAACTTATCAAGGATCGCCTTTGTGAGTCTGACCTGGACTGTGTCTATGGCACAGATTGTAGAACTAGTTGTGATCAAAATACAATGAAGTGTACTTCAGAAGTAATACAACCAAACTTGGCAAAAGCCTGTCAGTTACTCAAAGACTACCTATTGCATGGTGCTCCAAGTGAAATTCGTGAAGAATTAGAAAAGGAGCTTTATTCTTGTATTGCTCTCAAAGTTACAGCAAATCAAATGGAAATGGAACACTTTTTAATATTAAATAACCTAAAAACATTATTGTGGAAGAAAATTTCCTATACAAATGACTCTTAATTTGAATAAGTACCATCATAGGAAACTTACCACTTCTGAATATCCATTTTGAACATTTAAAAGAATGGCTTCTGATCCTTTCTCTTGGGGCCTAAGAAGCCATCATCTTAAATAGAGAGGAGTATGGTAACGGAAGGCAGTACAGATGAACATCTCCACAAGATTTCACTCCTTTTGTTTTTTTGAGATGGGGTCTTGCTCTGTTGCCCAGGTGGTATCAAACGCCTAGACTCCAGTGATATTCCGGCCTGAGCCTGTGTGCTGGGACTATAGGCAAATGCCACCATGTGCCAATTCCTGCTTTTAGAAGTCCTTACATTTGCCAGTTCCATTCACTGTGTAACTATCTTGAAGAGTGACTAAAAAAAACTATGAAAAGCCTCATTCCATAAACATCAACAGTGAGTATTTTGTGGATTTATATTAGCCAAAATACCATTGGTGGAAACATTGTTTGCATTGAAGCTGTTTAAAATTTATACAAATTTAGTAATGTCTTCGCATGGTAATGTTTGCATATTAACAAGACTGCAAAGCAGATTAAAATTACTCCTTTATAAAACAGATGTTGAGTCAATAGCATGGTTTATTGTACTATACTTACATAATTTTAATCTCTTTCAGACATCAAATGTCACAGGTAGTTTGAGCACATTCCCTGGTCTTGAACTTGAGAAAGTATTCTCCTTGACAGTATGCAATTAGCAATTTTAGTGGCTGAAATTAGGCAAATTTTTATTAACCTACAGACTGGATGGGGTGGGGCATAGTGGCACACACCTATAATCCCAGCACTCAAGGGAAGCTGAGGCAGGAGGATCATAAGTTCAAGGCCAGCCCAGACTGCATAGCAAGCCCTTGTGGTCTAAAAAAATAATAATAATTGGATGGGTAGTATCAGCCAAGCCTACCAAGCCCTTTGAAATCCCTTGGGCTCAGGCCAGGGATTTAGCTCAGTGGTTCCACCACCTGCCTTGCAAGTGCAAGGTACTGCACCCTGGTACCAAAAAACAGAACAATAAACTAAACTCCCTTGTGCTGAGAATGTACCTCAGTGGCAGTGCTTGCTTAGCAGGCTTGAGCCCCAGCATTGCAGAAGAGACATCTTGAGGCCATACACCAGAAATCCACTTACCCAGAATTTGAGCTATGGGGAAATTGGTAACTGTTAAGAGCAAGACTAAAATAAATCATTAAAGACCTTTGATTTTCCATTTTCAGTGTTTCCTGTGGTCTAAAAGGGCTGTTTCTTAAAAGACACATATAAATTTACCCACTGACTATTTTTTCCCACAAACTTGATATCCAAGATTTAATATTTGATCCTCTTCCATATATTTTCATAGTCAGATCTGGCATGTGTCCTTCAACATCTCCATAACATGAGACATCTCCTTTTGAAACTAGAAGCACTTCTATTTTCTGCACAGAGGTTTTACCTGGTTAAAGTGAATGTACTGAATCTGTGCTCTTCATTTGCTTTCTCTCAAAAATTAGAAGCCATCACTCATTGCCAGTTTTGTTTCCTTTGAGATTGTATACTTTTGAGGTATGTTTTCTTCCCATTAATGATCTGGTTATAATGAATGGACAGAAGAATTATTTCCTAGTGATCACTGATTGGTCTGTTGCTTGCAAAACTTTTAGGGAGAGCTATACCATACAATTTGAGGGATAATAAAAAGAAAAGGAGGGCTGGGGGTTTAGCTCAATGGTTCCGCCACCTGCCTTGCAAGCGCAAGGTCCCAAGTTTGATCCCTGGTACCAAAAAAAAAAAAAAAAAGAATAGGTAAGAACTTTGCAGGAATCAAAACACAAGTTGGTTGTTTCTGGAACAAATTACACCTGTTTCTTGGAGAAAAAAAACCTGTCAACTCCTTTGCTTTTATACTTCAGTGTATTTCTTAGACTCTCATAACAAGAGCTTAACACAGAAGCAGTTGCTTGATGAATAAGTTTATTGGTTGTCATCTGAAAAATCTTCATAGAAAATTTGGTTTAACTCTCAGCAGCCCGCTCCTGAGCTCTGAGGAAGCTTGCCTTCTTTTGAGCTACCCTATCTTTCTCCTGGGCAAGGGACATTTTGGGACGGTTCCACCTCTTCTTTTTAACTTCTCTTTTCGGCTTCTTTTCATAGACTGGATTCTCTCGTATAGCAGCATGAGCTTTCTTATACATCTCCTCCGTCATGTCTGGAGTTACATTGTTCTTTATGTACTGAGAGAACTGGTTCTTGTAAGCATCTTCATCTTCTTCCATTAGGTAATGCATATAATCAGCAATGTTCTGACCCATGATGTGCTTCCGATGTACTTCTGCATTGAACTCCTTGCTTTCAGAATCATAACCAGGGAATCGTTTCGTACTGTGAGGGATAGACAAGCCTCCATCCACAGCACCCTTCAGAGCTCCAAAATCTTTATTGCCAGTTGTAGTTCTGGCAAGGCCTGCATCCAAATAGCAGGTGAAGGCACTAGGTTGACCATCAATGCTTTCCACATTGTATTCATCTCCAGTCACCTCCACCTGGCCTTCATAGCTCTTATCCATGCTAAGCCTATTAAGAAGCCTGTGGGCCAGCAGCAGGCCGGTACAATATGCTGTAGCATAATTTGTTAGGCCAACTTTCACACCATATTTTGGTAGTTCATGTGCATAAGCTGCACAGACTATCATATCCCCTTCAATACAGGCATAAGCAATCTGACAAATGATATCTCTGTTACTTACACGAACCATCATCCTGTATTTAGGTGTGTTGTACTTATTTTTGTCCTGGATCACCAAGCGTTTCCGAACATAGTAATCAGTTTTCCCCTCTTGTCTTCTTCTAAACTTCACTTGATATCTCTTAAAGTAGGCCTTATTCTTGACAACTTTAACAAACCCCATCTTGCAGAATAAAGACCCGCTTACGCGGTTCCTCACAGACCTGCAGGCCTAGCAGCGCTACAGGGGGGAAAAAGCTCACAATGTTGATGGTGATTTTTGTCAATTCAAAACATTATGGTGTGTCCTTATTCATCTTATGCACTGAACTTGGCACTGTGCAACTTCTGTCTTTTCCCGCAAATCAAAATGACAATGAAAGGTAAGTGTTTTGAATCAATTCAGGACATCAAGGTGGCCATGACAGTGTGTCTAAAGACACTCATGAAAAAAGACTTCCAGAAATGCTTCAGAAAGTAGCATGAATGATGGAATAAGTGTGTTTGAAGCCAGAGGGAGTATTTTGAGGGAGATTAATGGCAATGGATCTTTTACTGTAATAAATTTTTAAAAGATGTTAACATTCACTGCATTTACTGTAGTTTTTGATCACACCACATATTTTCCAACTCAAATTTGCCTGACTTTTCCATAGCACTTGGGTTCCCATAAGAGGAGGGACTATATCTAGCTTGTTGATCCTCATACAGTATTTCCAGTGCTCAAAAGGAGATCTGTGCCTATCCTTTGAGATAAAAGGATGAACATTATGTGGAAATAATATGAATGGGCTAAATAATTTCAAGATGGAAATGAGAACTATAGGAAGAACTCAGAGTGTCTTTTCTAGTCTAATTCTTTCATTATATAGATGGAAGAACTGAGGCTGAGAGAGAGAGAGGGAGAGGGAGAGAGAGAGAAAGAGAGAGAGAGGACTGACCAGGTATGTCGATATGTCCAAACTGTGGCCTATGGGCTGCATGTGACCCTGTATAGCTAGTTATGTTGCCCCACAAGACTGTAAGCTTTAACACTAGTATGTGATTTTTAGTGATATTTGTCATGACTTGATTGTGTGTTGCTTGAGTATGGACTGTAGGTGACAACAGAACGGTGAATGGGGTAGGGCACAGTGCAGTGCTAACTCCACCTCCTGTGCCTGCCAAACACGGTCAAATCACTGTGTGTACTGTGTCAGACTTCTGTGACCTGGTGAGTAAATCAAAGTGATTATCAGTAACAGTATTTCAGCCCACCAACACATGTGTGTACCTGTGAAGACAGAAATATTAAGCAGATGTGTAAGTTTTCTGATTTAATTATTAAATTTGGGCATGTTGTGTTATTTTGTAAAATAATTTAGTAAGCTAAAATATAAAAAACCAGAAAGTTTTGCTACATACTTAACCATAATATTGTATATGTGGCTCACCATGATTCCTCTTCACTCAGAATGTGGACCAGGAAGGTCAAAAGGGTGGACACCCATGTAGACCAAGGTCCTGGACCCTGACGGTGGCAGAGCTGGGATTAGGGAGTTCTCTGGGGCGGGGGGTCTTCTGGGCTTTGTCTAACTCATCTAAGGAGTAGAGGAGTCTTAGGTTCTTGTTACTCAGAGTGTGGTCTGCAGACCAACAGCACATTTATTAGACTATTAGGCCCTGCCCTTGACTCATAGAATCAGATAATCAGAATCTTCATTTTTAACAAGATCTCCAGGTGCTTTGGAGACCAGGTGGACAGGTAGTCCTTCCAATTCCATGGGATCAGAAAAGGCAAACTTATCTTGTAGCATTTGGAGCATGCTGCAGATTAAAGGACAAAAGCTCCTGAGTTCCTGATAGTCTGAAAGTAAGTCCAGGGCCTGGTCTGGTAGAGGATAAAGTCTCAACTCCAGGGGAGCTGACTTGGTGAATGAAAAGGTCTTAAATAAAGAGAAACTTCAGAAACCAGCTGACCAGCAAACCAGATGCTTCAAATTTCCAACTTTGTAGCTATTATATTAAAAAAATTAGAAGTATATATGTATCTATACCAATAATTCCACCTATGCTACTTGAGGTGGTGGTGAAAATGGTGAACTCATATCCTGCTAGTGGCATTGTAAACTGGTGTAGCCTGTGTGGTAAACATTACAGCAGTAGGTAGCAATAATTCTAAAGTTATTTGGCTCCTTGGACCAAGTCATACTGCTCAGGGAAAATAATCCTAAAGCAATAATTCAACAAAAGTGAAAGGTTACATGCACAAAAATGTTGGTTCCACCTAAAGGTGGAATATACTAATGAGAAAGCTTGAGGAAATTAGGATGGCTTTATGAAGATGGCTCAAAATTAGTTACAATTAATATGCCCCAGGTCACCTGCATGGGGTACCTAGGCTCTTTGATTTCTGTTCTGACTCTACCATTGACTGTGATCTGGGACAACTTAATTGAACTGGTCTATGTCTCAGTTTCTTCTTCTTCTGTAAAATGGTGATAATGCCAATTTTATAGGATTGTTGGAAGGATTAAAAAAAAGTACCAGGAATTATGTCTCTATAGATTTATATTTTTCCAATCTTGATATTCCTACTCTGCCTGACACAAGAATGCTTTTATTCACCCTCCAGGGCCTGATATCCTGTGATAATTAATTATAAGACCTCCAG